TATTATAAAATCACAAATGATGTGAGTTAAAAGCACGTGAAAGATGTAAAGATAATTTTATCTGATTCCTAGGGAAGGAGTGTGGTGACCTGAACAGATCTTACATCAGTTGTGGTGAGGCTTTACTGCTTGCCTTGCAAGGCCATGCTAAAGTTTCCTACAATGCCTGGTTGGGAAAACGATGCTTTGAATAGAGATCAGAGGCTCAATTAGAGAAGGCATTGAAAATCATGGTTTTAATTACAGTTTCTTACTATGTTTTCATGCAGAGGCACTCTTTGCAGTTGGTTATCAGTTGATCGAATTTTAATCGCTGGAGATGAAGTTCTACATGCCTGCTTCTCTAAGCTGGATATTTTTGGAAATGTCAAAAATATCGGCATATCTGACAGTATAGTTAAAAAAAGAAACTATTTAAGGCTCCCTTTTGCTTTGGAGCAACAGTTTGAAATTTAAAAGGGGACAGTGCTGCAATCCACGAGGTATTTTGTTGTACCCCCTTCCTGTCACAGACTTCCCCAGCGGTCACAGTTGGCAGTGCTTTTTTCAGATCTATCAGGAAATATTCACATTGTATTAGGAGTTTGCAGCTGGGGAAAAAAAACAGCAACAACAAAACTTTAGTGTTCTTTTTAACCTGTTCCCATCATACATTTTCCATTGCGGTTTTGGACGGTCGTATGGGCAAAGCATGGGTGTGAGAGATGCGTTGGTTACAGAAGGGGATGACGGGCTGGCAACCAGGGACCCTTTTCTGGACAGTTACAAGGCCTTGCCATTGCGTATGGCACAGCAGACTCCCAGATGACGAAAACTGTTCTGCCTCCCGGTCCTGCTATGTGAAGCAGCAGAAATGTCACAAGAAATGGCCAAGAAGGAGAACCCCACTTCTTGTTTCGGGGACCCCACATCTCTGCTCTGTAATTGCGATGGTGTGCCGAGCAAATCTTACACATCTGTGTCTTGATCGTGCAGCCGGGTTTCTAGATCCCATTCCGGAGTGGCGAGGGAACCTAGGCACCCTGCTGCCCCGCATTCCTGTGGTGCGCTCTGGACCGCATCTCCCCCGGAGCCGCTGGTCCCCGGGAAGAGCAGATCCCGCCGCTGGTGGTTGCTTTTCCAGCCCGAGAGGCAGAGAGCTGCCTTGGGGATCTGCAAGTCCAGGGTTCAGCCTCTGCTGGTGACCCATGCAGAGGTCAGTGCGGCTGTATACGATGCACGTTGTTGGTATTTTCTTTTGTGTCTTTTTCAAGTTCGCCTTTTTTATTTTTATGGAAACATCTTACACACAAAAGCTACGTTAACTGAAGTTGAAAAGTTTCAGAACTAAGCGTGAAGAAGTTAAGGACTGTGAGTGATTGGCAAAACATGGTTTGGTCCCTTTCTGCGCAAGCTGTGCGGTGCGGTCTCCCTCCAGGGTCACTTTGTTCTGCTGGGAGTGGTGCCTGGGTGGTTGCTGCACACCCTGGCTGGCCCCAGTTGGACTGGGAAGGGGTTGCTCCTCTTGCTTCAGAGATGCTGGTTTGGAGCCAGGACATTTGAGCTGCGTTTTTATCTCCCTTGAGCGCCTAATTACCGGATCAATATCTGTGTGAAGGGGAATGTAGTAAGAATTGTGCAGGCATCTTTAGTTCTCGTTGAGCCCAAATGCTTAACTTTGCAGCCTTCGGGTTCTTTGAATGTTTTTTGTGTCTCAGAACAGGTTACATTGAATGTTGTTGACGTTTGTGTCTCAGAACACCTTTTAAACTTAATCCGTATAGAAAACATAGAGCTGGGGAAAAAAGTGAAACACTTTATAAAATGCGTGACCTTATTGCTGAATTGATGTTGCCATCTGTATGGAAAAATTATTCAGGAAAATTGATACAATGGTATTAGCTCAGAACTAGAAACTTGGAGATGGAAAAATAGGAGTATCTCCTTGGCTATTTTTTTTCCTGGACTCGCTGGCTTGTGGAAGGGGGCGTGATCCCTTACAGAACAGTCGTTAGCTTGTCCCCAGAAGCCAGGGATCTTGCAGAGTGGAGCAGAGACCCCAGGATCCTCACTCACAGCCGCGTGCTGAGGGACACCTTCTCTCCGGTCAGAGTCCAGCCTCGGAAGTCAGTTTCTGTGGATGGTCCTCAAGTGCTTTCTTAAGAGAGGCTTTACCGGCAAAGGGTGGGCTACAGAGAATTACAGTTTTAGCTCCGTTACTACTTTATTGTCTTTTTTTCATGGGGTGGGGAAAAAGATACCCTTCTTCACACAACCCCGAGTCTTTAAAAATCCTTTATGGCTTACATTGGGAGAGCAAGTGACCAACATGCCTCTGCTCGTGAGTCTGGAGCATACTGATGCTGCTGGAGGAACCCTTTGCAGTGGACTACTTATGTGTGCTTCAGAGGTCTGATGAGGTCTGTTGAAGTGACAGAGAGCAAACCGGTGCCATAGCAGTACCGCAGTTCTAAATCTTACTGCCAAACAGCGCCAGAATACTTGCGTGCTGATATTACTGTGATATTTGTCTTTCTTCTGCCTCTCTTGAAAGTTGGGGGACTATTCAGCCAATGAAGGGGAAAAAGAGTGAGCGGAGACGTTCTCTTCTCTTTCTTCCTCTGGTGATGCTCTTCCTGCTCTCAGAGAGAGCCACCACATATCTCTGATAGGTGAGTCCCCGGAGAGGCTTCTTGAGAGTGGGCACAGCCCAGGAGAAGGGGACTCCTAACACCCTAACGTAGCAGAGTTTCTCAGGTGGGCTGAAATCCCTCAGCAAGGTCACGCCGGGGACTGGGAGGTTAGAGAGGGAAGACACCCTTGCCCATTTGAGTGCTACTAACCCCCTGTCTGAGATTTCCTGTGTTGTTAGAAGATTTGGTGTTAATTCTGGTGAATTTTCCAATCATCAGTATACTGAAGAATCAGGTGACTTTGCCTCTTAAGCTCCGTATCTGAGTTTACCCTTAGCAAGCAGCTCATTTTTAATGTGGATTAATTTTGTACACCAATAAGTGAGGTGTTGAAATAAGAAAGTATACATTTTGTAACTTCTGGTTGCTGAGACAGCTCCATCTTCTGAGTAGAGACAGAGAGAGAGAGATTTTCGGTAATTATCTGTTTATCTTGACTTACCTGTTGAGTAGTAATTTTGCAGATATTTATGGCTCCTTTGTGGAACTAGGTTAATCAAGTGAGGAACTCGGCTAGTTTGCTTGGTGCAGTTACTTATTGGCAGCAAGAGGCAGGTCCTCAGAAGCGAAACTAATGAGAGTCGTGCTTGTGTTGGGGTCGGGATGTGACCTTGCCCTATAGCAAACCATTACTGCACAAGCTGTAGCATCAAGTTTTGTTTTGATTTAGCCTGATCCACATATAAGAAACACGCTTGAATAATAAATGCAAACTTCTCGTCATTATTGAAGTGCTGAAGTTGAGCCCCCAACTTGTCTATCACTCCAATGGTTTATTATAGAAAGGAATATTTCTGGCAGGGAAGGGGGAAAGTCCTTTGACTACAGCTTTGTTACAGTTTTCTAAATGGGCATTAATAGCACATCTGAAGTATTCTGGTATTGCCACTAGTTGTACATGTTCTTTTTGTTCTGTGGTATGCCTTTCAGCAGCACAGCAGAAATACAGGCCAGTTCAACTCCCAACATTTTTTAGCTAATTTAATTGAATGCCTATTTAAAATTGGAATTCTTTTAACCCCAGCCATGGCTGCTTTTGTATTACGTGCTTCCCAGTAGCACATTCAGGGCAGAACAGAAGGAGAGCACTTCTCCGTAGAAACTTTCGTCTTGGCTCTGTCACTAGGAAGTTCAGCGTGTAGAAGCAGGTTGCGTCGACACTTCTAGAGCTGAGAACGTACTCGTGCAGATGTGCAAGGTGCAAATCGGCGTTTACCGTATCGTGGTCTGTTTTCTTAACAGAAAGAAAAGGCAGCAAATGATAAAAAGGAGGACAAAAAGGCAGCAACAAAAGGGAAGAAAGGAGCCAAAGGCAAAGACGAAACTAAACAAGAGGATGCTAAAGAAGAAAACCACTCTGAAAACGGAGATACCAAAACTAATGAGGTACTTTAGCTACAGTAAACGTGAGAATAAACACAGATGTATGGGTAATACATCTGCAGGAGCTAACGATCGGGCCTCCTTGTCAGAAGGCGGTGGGTGTCACTGCCGTCCTGTAAAGACAGACCAGCTGCAGTCTCTGCACAGGGCAGCTCCCGGGGAGAGCCTGAAAGGATAGCGCTCTCCTGCAAACATGCCTTCTATGCGGTAGAGCCCTTCCACAGGTGGCCTGTGCTGTCGTAGTGTCCCCCTCAGGGCTGGCACAAGAGCGATGCAGAATGTTGGGGGAACAAATAGAGCTCAGTAAGATTGCTGTCCAACCCTGAGCTGACTTTGCCTATCCTCTCTGGACCGCTGGATCGCCTCTTCTGCTCAGCACAGGTTGGTGCTGTGCCAGAAATCTGGTTTTAAGTTTTACACAATTCTTTAAAGCAATTCTTCGCCTCAGAACGATTCAACAAGAGATCTGCAAAATAAACTTGGTCTTGTCTCTTGATCTGCAAGCCTCTTTCTTACAGGTTCTTACTGTATCAGCTACTTACCTAAGAGCTGCCGTTTGCTAGGAGTAGCCACAAGCTTCCGTCAGCTCCTGACGGCCTTTTCCTGGCAGATTTCTTGCTGACAGTAGAAGCGCAACCTTTGCTGCGGGCTGCCTGTGCCCCAGTATGCACAGACTAGCCTGTTGGGTTCTCTGTGGCTTTTGGTTTACCGTCATCTCTCTTCATGTGTCGAGTATCATTGTCCAGTTAACGGGTCGTTTATTCTTCCATTTTGAAAACTAATTCGGGAGCTTCTTTGCTAAAAAATTAATATGGGGCTGATGTACTTCAAAGGGTCTTTGGCAAGAGCTTTGCAATTTTGATATGTTGACTTAAAAAGTAATAGCAGACATTTTTATAGAAAACAGGTGAGAACCAATTTCCCCGAAGCTTGGACAGCAGACAAATATTGCAGTTTTATGTGTAATTCTTACTCTTCCCTCTGACTTAGAGAGATGAGGACTTGAACTTTCCCGAGCATGCAGTTGATCCTAATCTGAAATACGTTCTAAAGGCCTGCCTCTTTGGAGGCCCTTCACATTCCAGAATTAACTCGATAATTAATTAATACTCACCCATGTTTTAATTTTTAGAATGATCAGCTGACATGTTGTTGTTTTGATACTTTCTGTAGTAGCTGTGCGTTCTTGTCTATCTGCACAAAATGTTGTCCATGTGTGTGCTAGCAAACTAGTCTCTCTGATGCTTGTTCGAATGGAATCCGATTAGCGTTACAAATAATATTTTTATTCTTCCCAAACACTTTTATAGGCACCAGCTGCTGAAGCATCTGATGATAAGGAAGCCAAGTCCGAGTAATGTTAACCCTGCCCTATATCTCCATCATTTGGTATCCGTACCTCCATGCTGTATTGTTAACAGAGAGGAATATTTTTATCAACTATTTTATAAATGCAGGTTTTTTTAGCATGAATTTAATTATGGAACATCTTCATCTCGGTTACTTGGGAATTAAATCCCTAACAAACAAAACAAAACAAACAAAAAAAATCATTGTTTTTAAATTTTGTGATTGTAATAGTTTGTATGGTACATGGAAAGAATAAGTGGTGGTAGCTTTTGACTTCTGTCAGTGTGTCCCTTTTTGTGTAAGTCATGCTTACAGACTTCAGATTTTAATTTTTCCCTTGTATGTGTTGTATGGTTTCTTAAAGTGGGGAGGTCTCAAAACAAATAACCGTGTTAAACATTCCAGTGGTTCTGTGGGTTGCTTTTATAAAGAAGGTGAGCTATTTTCATGAAAAAAAGAAGAGCTGGAAATCTGTTGTTTCCCAAATGTAATTTTATTTTGTCAGTTTTGAAAAAAAATAAATAAATAAAAGTGTAATCATGTTTTTAAATGAAATACAAACATTTCTTTTAAAAGGGCAGGTTGGTTGTATGTACCCACTGTTAGGAATTTTGCTGGATTTATCTTAATAAAAAAGACTCCTCAAAAGCTGATTGTGGTTTGTTGCTTGTGCTGCAGACGTACTGCTGGAAAGCTGCCGAATTCCACAAGAGTTGCAGTGGCGCAGGGCTTCAGGCTGAGAGAACCTGCAGAGCTGGGGAGCTCTGGGCCGTAGCACGACGGGGGCTTGAGCCCCTCTCTTCTTCAGCCATGTAAAAAACCAAAAAAAGAGACTTTACGGCCCAGCGTCTCGGCGGCCGAAGTGGGAGTAGATGGTTTCAGAGGAAGCGTGCTGGCAGCCAGGAACTCCGGCCAGCGCTTCCGGATGAAGGCTGGCCCGGTAGACTCTGGCACTTGCTCAGGTGAACGTGGGGGACTTGGTGTTGCCTTCAGCGTGATAGATGACGTCACGCGTTCTGAAGGGTATCGTCTGGCTTGCTTGCATGTGCCTGTTAATTGATCATGATTTAGGGGAGGGTGCTTTCCTCTTAGAAACACTGCAGAAGCTTGGAGACTCCCCCGTCGACACCGAACCCTTTGTAGTATCAGAGAGTTCTCTGTTGATGTAGGAACATTCGCAGTCCTGGTTAAACTCCATACTTCCATTACCGTTGTTTATTGTTTTCTTCTTTAAACACATATTACTTACGTGAACATTACTTACTTGGAATGTTTTCTTGGACGCAGTTCGCGTCTCCTAGCGTGATGACGTGTGCGTACAGAAATGCTTTCTGCTAATGCAAGCTTCTTGATTCTGGGGAATGACAGCTAGTCCAGACAGCGCTTATCTGGGGGGTTAGTATTGGTTTTACTCAGCCTCAGTTTTGTTGCTACAGCTATTCTATGCGACTTTATCAAGGATGCTTCAAATTTTCCTCTTAAAGCCTCTTTTTATATAAAGTCTCTTCATACTGGTGACCAAACACATTATATATTTAATACCAAGAAAAATGTCTGCAATGCAGAAACCTTATCTTCTGCATTAAACTGTTTCACAGCCCAGAAATGTGAAAATCCAAGAGCTTGCATATTTTATCCTGTATCCAGAACCTAACCCGGCCCCTCTAGGCGTAGCGTCTTGTATTAAATGCGTGTTTCAGGAGCTGTACCCAGGGCACTGGCTATTAGGTGATGTTTAATGCGGATTTAATTCTCAAGGTCTAAAGCACCGGGGGTTTTTCTTCCTGCTGCACCACCTTTTGCTCAGTAGAACTGCTCGATAAAAGCATCAGGGTTAATGAGCTAGATCCTCCTCCGCAGTAAGGGCGAGCGAGTGTTGAGGGGCCTTTCCCCTTGCAGTACACTCCCCCAACCCAGCACGGCCTTGGTACGTTGCCTTTCGGGCGCGCTCCGTAGCCTGTCCTGCAGTGACAACTGATGGAGAGGAGTAGCCGGAATCCCTTGCCTGGTGGAAGTGTGGTGAGATGTGGGCAAAACCAGGGAGGTTCTGAAAGTCCCGGTTTGAAGACGATCCAACAATAGTTCAAATGTCACCCTGACACTTTTACATGTGCAAATTCCTGAATTTAGCCTGCTTTTGAATAAGAAAAGATGGCCAACAAGCACAGCAGCGTGCTTTGGACACATGGCACGACTTTTTTTACGGTCTGACCGAATGCTGCTTGAAGTCGATGAGAAATACCGACGGGCCTGTACTGCTTCAGGGAGAAACCACGTATTGCAATGAAGTGTTTTACACCTGCGTATTCCCCCCGCCCCTGGTGGTTTCTCTAAAAGGGCTTAAAATGGCAAATCTGGTTCTGCAGCGAAGGTGAGCTCCTTCTCCAGAGCTTGGTACCGTTGAACCATTTCCCTTTGGCTTTAGCCTCCAGTCACTGAGCGGTTCGAGCATTTTTATTTAAAAATAGCAGAAGACACTATAAATATGGTTGATATTTTCTTCTTAGCAAAGGGCTCACCCGTACAGCAAGGTGTAGTCAGCCCGTCGTACGCTAGCTGAGGTCGCTCTGTATGTCAAGTCACGTTTCTCCGTTTCAATACGGAGGCTGTTGCACAGAAACGTACAATTGAGTGTTTGGTTTTGTTTATTCCTTCCTCTTCTAGTGCCAGGGCGAGAGTTGTTCTTCATTCTATAACTGTTGTTAGATTCCTGTTTTAAATAACTACAGAAAATTGCTTCAGAGCTTTTCAGACAAGCCTCCTCGCTCCGATTCGTAACTTTTCTGCGCAGTGGGGTACTGAGGGGGTTGCACAACCGAATGGCTTGCCTGCCTTCTGCCAGGTCCTCCTCGTTGGCTGGTCCTGATGTCTAGGCACCGCGTCAAAGGCTGGCTCCCTGGCAGCTGGCACGCCGCGCCGGGTGTTTGGTCGTCCGAAAAGCCGAGGTTTCGGGCTGGCTGTTCAGCGCTGCGCTGGGGGCAAGCAGCACGTCTTTGCCTGTTCCGGTGCCGATTAGGGAAGATCCGTAGAACTGCTAGGCAGGCAAAGTCGGCTGCGGGAGTTTGATTGTCGTTATTAATCATAACGATTAAGGACCTTAGAAGATGCGAACAGATTGATGAGTCCAAAGATAGTGATGGTTCCGAGGCGGCATAATGGCATTTTTAGCTAGGGGAAGAGATTTAAAGGGAGGTCGGCAGCAGTTTGTGATGGTGAGGTGCCCGCGTAGCTCGTCGGTTGTTGGGCAAGATACGTGTCCAGCTGTTGGCTTGGCTTTTGCAGTGAAACCTGGTGCAAGGAGGCAATACTGATGTTGTTCCTTGCTAAGCAGGAACCCTGCAAATCGCGAAGTCTTCCATGCAGAGAAAACGGCCGTGTGGAGGTGCGTGCGGTCTGTGGGTACGTCCCGCTGCGCCGAGGAGCGTTGGGCATTTGAGCGACCAGTGCCAGGCGCAGACGGTGTTGCGGTGTCGAGAGGACAGGAGGGTGGTTTGGGTGGGAACCAGTGGCTGGAGCCACGTTTTCCTGTCCAAACAGAAGCACTGGAAGGTACAGCTGTAGAGTCAAGGTCAATACAGCGCGATGACAGCGAACAGCGACCCAGTTTTGGGTGCAACACTGGAGGGGTTGCGTTAATGCTTCAGACCTGTCTTACTGCTGAGGAGGTTCGTCATCGTGATTGTATTTGGGAGCAATCGTGGGGCAAAGCAAGGCTCTTCACTGGGATTTCTGTTTTGTCGTTCTTTCCAGCCTTGGTGCATTAATATGACTCATGCCAGAACTTTTGGTGCAGGCTTCTGGCGCAGCACGGGGCTGAGGTGACTTCAGGGTGCTGTTCAAGTTTAAGAGCAAGCATGGAGACTTCCCATTCCTCACAACAACGCATGTTCTCACAGCATCTTCAACAGAACTCGGGCAAGCATTGAGCTCACACGAGGAAGAACTTCTTCCCTCTGAGGGTGAAGGAGCCCTGGCCCAGGCTGCCCAGGGAGGCTGTGGTGTCTCCTTCTCTCTGGAGATATTCCAGCCCCGCCTGGACGCGGTGCTGTGCAGCCTGATCTGGGTGACCCTGCTTGGGCAGGGGGTTGGGCTGGGTGACCCATAGAGGTCCCTTCCAACCCCGACCGTTCTGTGATTCTGTGATTCTGTGAAGCATTTGCTTATTGCTTTTTCAGAACAACGAAAGGCTTAGAAAAACACTGCTCACCGTCCTGGAAAGCGAGGGCTGGAGTGGAAGGAGGCACCTCGCGACTTCTTCCTGGTGTCCATCGTCAGCAGTGTGCTTGAGCAGCACAGGGGGAGCAATGGGAGGAAGCGTGGCTGCCATCAACAAGCAGAAAACGAAAATTGCAATGAGGTGCTTGGGATTTGAAAAAAAACACGTTTAAAATGGGGGGAAAGGAAAAAACCCACAACCCGGCCGAAGCACATAGAAGGCTGGCTTTTGTAGGCACCTCCTGCATCCACCTTTGCTCCTCTGAAGGAAGTGACTGCACACAATGCCCAGAAAATCCGGCAGGTCTGATTTTCAGACCAAGATCGACTTCCCTGGTAGTTCATGGAGTTACGTTGGTGTTAATCTGATGGAGCAGGAAGAAAATTGAATCCCCCGAACAGAAACGGATGGCTCTTCTTTCCGATGTCCCCGTGGCGATGTTCCTTCCCCGTGCAGCTGGTGTGGGAGCCCCTGCTCTGAAACCTCACGCCCTGGATGGGCTCCAGAGAGCCGAGAACACCCCCCGGGCCCCACCGCGATGTGGCTTTCGAGGAGCCCCGCTTGTTTTGGGAGAACAATGTCGACATGGCTTTTTGGCACAGGAACGGCCCGGGCGGGGGGGAACTGGCCACAAGCGAGCGCGGAGCTGGGTGACAGAAGCCACCGGTGTCTCGTTTGGCCACCGTCCCCTGCTTTTGATGGAGCGTGATTAGGATTGGGCTTGGGGCGGCTGGAGGAGGGGGCGGGGAGAGGACAACTGTGCTGCTCCCACAGCCTTCGCCTGCCCCGATTTCGCTACCTCTGCCAACGCTGCTGGAAGAGGACGGCGAGGGGCTGGCGGGAGAGGGTCTCGGAGGAACGGAACGCGGCCTTCCCGCTGCGGCACCGGCAAGGGACTCGCTCGACACGTGTCAAATGGAAATATGTCAGTGATGTCCAAATGCATTAGCGCGGGTTTCAGACTGACACAACACCTGAAAGCAGTGGAAGGGAGAAGGTGCTCGCGTGATGTAAAGGGAACAGAATCGCGGCTGAGAAAGCTCGGTTTCTGAAAGAGCGGAAATGGGATTGACACCGTAAAGCTCTCAAAGGCATGCTAATACGATTGGACACATCTTAAACGTTTCCAGATGTTCTTAAAAAAAGGGGGGGAAGCAGAAATAACAGAGGCAAAAATGCTGTATTGAAACCTAAAAATAGAGCGGTCAAGATTTAAACCAGGTTCATCTCACTGGAAATGGGAAGTTCGTCTCTCCAGAGGGGAGCCCGGCTTCGTTCCTCTCCCCGGCCAGGCTCCCTGGCACGGCGATGAGCCCCAGCTCCCCCCTGGAGCAGAAGTGAGGGGCGTGCAGTGCGGAGGCCGTCCCAGAGAGGTGCAGGCTCTCCGGCTGGGGAGTTTCCAAAGAATTGTCCCAAACTGGAAATGCCTCGCAG